CTCCCCCTCCCTTGGTTGTAGCAAAAACAGAAAGTTGAGTGTTTACTGTGTGTATCACCATCGTCATCATATTCTTCTTCCTTCCGTATCTCCTCCTTTTATTCTCTCTCTCTCCCTCCCTCTCTCTCTCTCTCATTTTCAACGGTTCATCATTGCATGCACCCTATAATGGAACCCTAGGAGTTTTCAGTACTCTTCTACAACACGTGGGTGCTCCTATATTAGAACACTAAAAACATATAATTAGTCTCTTTCAATGGCTTGTTTGGGCGACGACACTTGGTTCGCTCTTTCTCAAATGCGCAGCGCCTCGTTAACCCTCCAAGAAAACTCAGAAAATTTTGGACCCGATAATTCAGCCATGGGAGAGTACCGCTTGGAAAAAGTCTTTCCAGTTTACGCTGTTGGAGTATCCGAGCCCGACCCGAACTTGATCGTCTCAGTTGACAATACAGCTTCTACTGTAGGTGACCCTATCTGGGATGCTGTTAAGCTTGACGCTAAGTTGGAGGTATTCTTGAATTCATCGAGATTTTAGCTTTACATATTTTTTCTTTTAACCACCGTGTATTGACCAACTAAATCCGTACCTGCATCGTTTCACAAGAATCAAGATATCTGCATCTTTCCGCCTACGTTTAGTCAGATAAGAAGAAACCACGACTTTGTTGAGATATGAGCCAGTTTTTTGACATAGCTTTACATTAATTTCACCTCGGACAACTGTTTCATTCAAGTTAAAATGAACCGACTAGGATCAAGATTTATTTTTGTATCAGTTTCTAGTTCTTAGTCTTTTCATTTCTCTGCGAAGTGTTATTTTTTGTTGGAAATAGTCGTTCTTGGGATTGGATTTATATCAGTGGTATGATTGCTAAGGATTTAAGTTGTATATACTAATTAATACTAGCTAGTTTAATCGGTTGAAGGCTTGAAGCTCTTGTTTCCAGGTTACCGATTCACACGTGCTATAGATGGTTACTTGTAGCTTAATTTTAACTAACCTGATAGATTAATGATATTGATATCAATTAATCCGACTTCTAATGCTCTATGTTAATATTGCAATCAAATAGATTTTTTTGAGTGTCCAAGTGTTTGTTATCTTTCAGGACGGAGTTAATGTAACAATTTGATAGTTTAATAGTTTGAAAGAAGTAATAAGGAGTAACATAGTGACCAACTGGCCAAACCAGTTGTCTTTTCTACAATCTTGTGACTCCTATTATGCAATTGTTTCAGCTTTCGGTCATTAAGAGTAACTTGTCAAATAAAGATCTAAATCTACTATGTAAGCTTAGGTAGCTGGATTCTCTCGATTTGTTAGTTTTGCGTAGATTAAAATGTTCTTAGCTGAAAGCTTTCAGGAACCATTTAATGTTGTTTCTATTCTGTGATCCAGGCAGAGAAGGAGCCAATATTAAGCAGCTTCTTGTATGCGAGTATTTTGACTCATGATTGTTTGGAGCGGGCATTGAGTTTTGTTCTTTCCAACCGCTTGCAAAATCCTACACTTTTGGCAACTCAATTAATGGACATATTTTCTGATGTAATAATGCACAATAGGTGCATCCAATGTTCTATTCGACTTGATTTACAGGTAATCGGGATTCTAAAAGTACATTCTATTTTTATATACTTTTTGTACTGACAGTTCCTTTTGTCCCTCGTTCTTGACAGGCATGTAAAGATAGGGATCCTTCTTGTTTGTCATACTGTTCTGCTCTTTTGTACCTTAAGGTGCTATTCTTTTGGTCTTTTATTCTAGTTAGCTAATTATTGTTAGTATTTTTGTTTTATCCCGTTTCATCTCTTCACTCTGAAGGATCTGCTTTTATGTCCGCATCATTTTGTTGATTATTGTTTACCGTTACATCAACTTCTTTTGGTAAATGCTATCAATTACCATACTTCATCTAAACACTATTTAAATGCAACAGCCATTAGCATCTATATTCCAATATAATGAACTTGTAAAGGAACCTCATTAAATTTATCCTTGGTTTTTATCTGTTGTCCTGAAAGGCAAACTATTTTTTAGGAAGTCTGTTTCTTATCTTAGTTACCTCCATGCTTGATACTGGTGTTTCTGTATATTATCACCACCTTTTAGCTGATTTCTAGTGAAAGGGTCACAGGGAAAGAGAATCATGATTCTGTGTCTACTTGGAATTTTGCTTTTCTTATATTTGATTGCAATTTTCAAGTTCCTGATATTGAAGCTAATCTACTCAGGGTTATCATTCTTTACAAACACATCGAGTTGCACATGCATTATGGAAACAAGGGCGCAAAGTTTTGGCATTGGCATTGCAAAGTCGAGTTAGTGAGGTAATGTTATATCCTCTACTTGGTGATAGCCATCATTGTCAGGCATTGCACCTATTTCTCGATGTTGCTTCCTTGTAACATAAAACTGTCACTTCAATACAGGTTTTTGGAGTTGATATACATCCAGGTAATCGTTCGAGTTACTCCCCTAACATCTGCAACAAAAGATATGGCTTCTGCTGTATTCTTATCAGTTACATTCTCACAAGAGTTACTTTCGTAAGGGATAATTATGACTAGGTTATACCTGTGTTTGCCTATAAAACAGCTGCCCAAATTGGAGAGGGAATTCTTCTGGATCATGCGACTGGTATTGTTATTGGTGAAACCGCTGTCATAGGGAATAGAGTTTCGCTAATGCAGGTGAGTTATGCTGAATCCTCTATATTGGGTGTTGGTGTCATTTTATACCAATTTCCTGCAATATGGTTTATTTGATTGAGGGGATAAGATAATTAAGCGTTTGCTTCATTTTGCTTATTCGCTTTACCTTTATATTAAAAGATCTAACAGAAATTTGAGTATAATGACTGGTAAATTAAGTGTTTATATGCCTGTCAACATTTTTCGAGTTCTTCAAGCTTAACACAAATCATTGATCAAACATTTTCATTGTCTTGTATCTTCCAGGTTGTTAGTAATAGCCAGTGCTAGCCTTATTAGTGTATGGGATACTTACAGCTGATACACTTATATTTAACTTTTCTTTGCTCTCATCACGTGATCCCTATAACCTTGAACTTGTAGATGGTACATTTCTCCAATTGCACTGTTTTGATTCTTACTTTCCACATTGAAACTTCTACTTCTGCCTTCTTTTTCTTATTTGTTTTTTTCCCGTTAGCCCAAAAAAAGCTAGCAAAAGGTTATGTTCAGCAGATACTTTCGTTCTTTTGGAGTTTTTTTCCCGATGTTCTGCTATTGTAAAGGGCTGGTACAGATGTTGAACAAGGAGATTCCGTTCCTAGAGTTATGATTTTCCCAATTATCGGAATCCTTCCCGCTACGTCTCCTACAATTTCGCCTAAGTTTTCTCTACTGATCATGAGCACTCGACTTATCGTAATTCTCTCTTGAGCAACTACTATAATGTACTAGTCATATTCTCTCGAATTACGCTAGCTCGCACGTTTTCACCGCTCACTATGATCACGTCAAAGCTTTGTTATCTCTAATCCCACTTTTATTTCCTCATTATGTTTGGACGTGTAGACCTCGGCCCCACCATATAAATATCTCTTAAAGTTAGTTTTTGAAGGGGGAGACATTATTGGAGAGGAAAAAGGCTACAAGAACACTTGGGAGCGCGGATCACAAGAGTTTTTCTCTCCGTTCTTCCTTAATCTGTAGTTTAATGCTTTTGAATATTACTATGATTGTTTATACAATTATGAGTAGCTAAACTCTATAGGGTTTGATAGAACCGCACAAAGTCAAAGCTGGACAAAATTGGGAGGGCATTACTAACATTTTACTTGCCTTGGCCAACTTAGGGAAGGCCGAAGGGTCCTTTTACCTGCGCTTTAACCAACTCAAACAAAAACCCTGAATCCTATAGTGAATTCCATTTATTACCCCTCAGGTGATTAGTGAGTTATAAACTAGAGCGCCGACCCTTGTGAACCTGCTCTCTAACCAACTTAAACTTTAAATCTCTAAATCCTATTGTGAAGCTCATTTATTGCCTCCCAGCGTAGATAGTAGAACCCCATGCTCTTCCTCATGTATTTGTCTTTAAACATAGCATAACTTATTATTCATGCCCCACAGTATGTCTACATATTTGGTCGGTGGAGATGCTTGTCGGTAGAAATTCTCTTTAAGACTCTTTTTTCACCTAAATATATTTTGGGCAGGGGGTAACCTTAGGAGGAACTGGGAAAGAAACTGGTGACAGGCATCCCAAAATAGGTCAAGGTGCACTCATTGGAGCTAGTGCAACTATACTTGGAAATATAAAAATTGGGGAAGGTGCAATGGTTGGTGCTGGTTCCCTTGTAATGAAGGATGTCCCTCCCCACAGGTGGGGTACCATATATTTTAAACTTCTGGTTTATCTGTAAAATAGTTCTGATAATACATGATGAATTGGTTGTGATGTGCCTTCTATTGGTTTTACAGTATGGTGACAGGAATACCAGCAAAGGTGATTGGTTATGTAGATGATCAAGATCCATCTTTAACAATGAAGCATGGTATGTTTGTTTTAGCAGACTAGCAGTATATTCTTTTCTCTTGGAAGCTCGCTCTATTGCGGTTTTGTTTTATTATGATATATATGCCACATATGCATGTAAATATTAGTAGAAATTGGTTGCTTTGAGAAGAAGGGAAAAAGAAAGTAATGCTGCCCTCTCCTGCAAGAGTTAGCTCCTTTTGTCTTAAGGAGGAACAATATGATGGATCTTCTTTATCAGGTTATTTAGGTCTTGCCTTCTTGGAGGATGGTAAATGGGAGAATTCCGAGCCTCTTGACTGTAAAAGCTTTTCCTGGAAGATCCGATTTGAGTTGATTTGTTCAGAATACATATGTCTGTCTACATGAATTATATGGGAACACTAAGGTGGAGTAAAGAGATTCTACATTTAACCCTTTCTCCTAGGAAGCCAATGAAGTATCCTATTGTGGCCATTTTGGGCTTAAGTAAGCAGAATAATATAGGTTGGCAGAGAGAGAGAGAGAGAGAGAGAGAGAGAGAGAGAGTCCAAAATTATTATTGACTGACACTTTTTTTTCTCTCTAAAAAGACGCAGAGATAATGTCAAAACATGAGCGAAGCAAGGTGCATAGATTTGAACAAATGGATCCTAGATGGAAACTTTAAACAGAGACAGTAAGATGTAATACAATTCAAAATGAAAAAAGAACATGGGAGGTCATTACGGTCATGATCAATATTCATCTTTTACTCCATCAAAGTATGATGATGTTTAATAGTGTCAAAGTAAACGTCTTCACGAGAAGATGACTCTTGCAAGAAAAGTTTCTAATTTCTTTGAGTTAGCAAGAGCTGACATATTAGGCCCCCTGAATTCTCACCAGCCTAATATCCTAATAGCTAATACTGACTGATTATACTGAAAATTTAACATTCCTTTGTTGTATATAGTGATCTGCAAAAATATGATAATTATAAATTTTGGTGTGTTATTATTTGATTACTCGTGAGCTACCAACAGGAAAGTTTCATTGCTTTCTTCATTCCCTTTGCTTAGAAGTTAACTGCTCATTGCTTTCTACTGCCATATTGCAGATGCCAGCAAGGAATTTTTTAAACGAGTAGCCATTAGCTGCAATGAAGCAAGATCTAACGGTGAGATTTCATTATGCAGTATGTTGCTTAAAGTAGGGATATATTTGCCTTAGTTGGAACAAATCAAAGCCCTCCAGTTGGACTTGAGCTTTGCCCCTACAGCAGCTTCTGCCTGGAATCAAGCTATCCTTTTTGCTACATCCAAATCAATAATAACGAAGTTATAGAAGTTCCAATTTGGCTCTTCTCTTTTCTTTCTTCACCCAAGTAGGTAAGGTGCTTCATAAATACCGCGTAGTATCTTTGCTGTTTCTGAACTCCAGTAGTCAAATCTATTGAAAAAGTTTTCTTACCACTTTTAGCAGTCATGAGTACTAAGTCAGATCTTGTATTAGCAGGCATCATATTTTTGGTTAGCCACATAATTCTTATTGTGCTCTGTATTTCTTCGTGACAGGAGCTGTGGCTTCAGAGAGGGACGATGGTGCAACGTGAGAGATTAATGAACTCCATTTGACTTAACTTACCCCATTCACTTCAACATGGTGAAAATGGTTTTAGTGTTTTCACCATCTTAAATATAGGATTCTGAAAAGAAAAATAAGGCTCCTTTATAGATTGATGGTCATTCAATCTGCGTGTAATGCCATGTAATTTGTGCCAAGATGAATTATGTATTTGTTATTCCAAGAGATAGTCATTTGTATATTAGACTCATCATTCAGCAACATTGTTGTTTGAATTAGTGCCAGAATGAGGCCGTTTGCAAATATTGGGAGAAACTGCTGTCTAGTGTTGTTGACTAAATTTTATACATTTCCTTCTGTTAATTTGGATACAAAGTCTTACTCTGAATTCATCGAGTTTATGTGAGAGCTCTGGCATGTGAGTCGAAGCTCAAGGTACATGCGTTACGGGTTCGATTCCCCACCTTGTAATTCTTTTTCTCCTTTCTTCTTGGTAGGAAAAAAAAAATTAGAGATACATCCGTCTCGCTTTTGTATGATCAGTACTATTTTTTTACTGACATTTTTTGGGTCCAAGTGTGGATTATTCTACTTATAAATTATCAGATATAACATTTAAACTTTCGACAATTCATATGAATTTAACTAGCTTGAAACTGCCATATAGTTTATTTATCAAACCAACTTTTCGATTATTATTTCAATATTTCCTTTCACTACTACTAATGAAATATTATATTAAATTAATAGCTAAAATTTGTGTGCGCACTTATTAATCTCCATATATTGGGTCGTGGGGAGGTACTTCGATTTGGTTTCGTCACCACTTAACCACCACTCTAGTTTCTCAATGCCACTTACTGAGTCTAAGCTAGCATTTGAACATATATTTGATTGAAATTTACAAAAATAATTTTTAAAGTTATGTTGAAAAATAAATTTTGAAAGTTGAAGTTGTGTTTGGACATGCATCTTATTTGAAGAAAATTTGGAGTTTTGTGAGTGAAAGAAAATTTTTCACCCAAAAAATGCCTTAAAACAGTTTTTGGGAACTTGTAAATTTTTGAATTTTTATTTCCCAATTATATTTCATAAACAAGCAATATTTTCATTTTTTTTTTTTAAAAAAATGAAGACAAAATCTTTGACCAAACGAGAGCTAAGTATTTTAAGGAATTTTTTACGAGATCAGTTCGATTTTATAATTTTATATTTCTCAGTAAGATTTTCATATTAAGTTAGCAGGAATGTTAAGTAAAATTACATGTTAAACTATAAATTTACAAGTCACCATGGAATTCTTACGTAAAATTACATTATCCAATTTGTTGATATTATTGTGGATCATTAATAAATATCTATTTGAAAAATAGTTTTCCTCGACCAAACCAAAAACTACTAGCCAAAAAAATATTTTTCTTCCAAGTAAACAAGAGAAAGTTAGAAAAAGCAGATAGTATGCGGGAAGCTGTAGTCTGGGAAGCGTGAGACTGCAAACTCCACCCACGCCTCACGCGATCTCAGAGTTTTCCCCTGTCTTCTCACGCTCTTTGCGGACTATTGAGTATCTCAATCATAAAGGGATTTAATAATATTCACTCTCAAACCCATTAATTCTCTCTTTTTGCACCTCTGTACATTTCACCAGATCTGCAGTTCCCCACTGCTTCATCCATATTACTTCAAAGGTTAGCCCTTTTTTCTGTGTCAATGCATTTGGTAATTTAGCTTTGTGGATTAAATTGAGATTGGTTCAATTTAGTTAAGCGTACGATCTGGTTGATACTGTAATCTGCAAATGTTTAATTTAGCAACGGAAATATGAATTCAGCTATTAAACCTCAACCTCTATTGAATTTCCAGTGTTCTTTGGAAACAATGAATAGGAGCCAATTTCCTGTGTTTGCGCAATTAAAAAAAAAAAAAGGTTACATTGGTGTGAACAATGTGAGATGATGATAGGGAGATAGTCTGTGAAGTGTGGAAGCTTATACTAGCTTCCATTTCATCGAATTAGCTTGCCCGTTGGATCTTTCTGTGTCACTTCTATTTACTTTCCAGAATTTGACATTCAAATAGGAGCTTCTTTAATCAAGGGAGACAAAAAACACGAGGCGCTTTCTTCCCATATGCTTAAGCCTTGGTGGTCAGAGTTACTCGGTACCTCTGTTGGTGGGAGGTAGCAGGTACCCGGTGGAATTATCAAGGTGCAAGCCGGCTGTGAGGAGCTTTTTTAATTTTGCTGATAGTAAGGAGCTTTCAAAGCTGATATTTGTGTTACTTTATCTTGGTTCTTTACTTTCAAGGCTGAATTACATGATGCGGTTTTTGTGGATTATTTATTTCGTGTTTTGTGATTGTTACTCATTGCAGTTGATGGTGAAACAATTTAATCCCTCCTACTTTGAGGCAAAAGCCGAAACAATGGAGGGAGATATTAATAGTGGGGCTGCAGATAATCACTCGGAAGATGCTAGCAAAACGGAGAAACAGTTCAATAACTTCAATATTGAGAGTAATCATGTAAAGGAGAACGGAATTTATGATGGTTATCAACATACAGGTGATAGCCATGATGATCTTGTACAAATGCTTGTTGAACTCAATTTCCAGAATGAATATCTGAAATCTCAGATTGTGGGGTGGCAAAACATCAACCTGTATTCTGATGAATCTGGCCAACAAGTGAGAGTAGTTGGGCATGAAAATGGGGCAAGTGATAATTCATTTGATCTTAATGAGAAGATAGAATCCTTGGAGAGGGAACTTTTGGAGGAAAAACAAACACGAGGTGCGGCTGAGGAAGCACTAAAGCATGTTCAGACTCTATACTTAGAAGCAGACACAAAGGTCCAAGAGCTGTCTGCCAAAGTTGCTGAAGGTTGTGATTTACTTTGACTTCTATTTTCATCTTCAAGTTGCTTAAATTCAACATCAAATATAGAACTTGAGCTTTGATGATAAGTTCTAAAAGTGTAGTGATGTATTTTCACTGGTAGTTGCAGATTCTTTTGGTTTTCTTTTCTTAGTTTCAATCGATAAAGCAGATAAGCTATTCTGAAGTCGATAAATGGTTTGTTTGAATAGTACAACATAAGATGGATCAGGAAATAAAAGAACGTGATGAAAGGTACTCAGAGCTAGACTCAAAGTTCAACAGACTTCACAAACGAGCAAAGCAGCGCATTCAAGAGGTGCAGAAGGTAAATTCTGAGATCATCCTCTTTTATTTGATAAGTCTGATGTCTTTCATTAATATCTCATCAGAACTTGGTCAACTTTACTAAAGTTTTTTACATGTACAACACTTTCGGAATTCTAGCAAACCATCCATTGATAATAGTATTTTCTCACAAACCAAAAACACAAATGAAACCGAAGAGGACTTTTGTTTATGGATAGGTGGTTATCAACTCCTTCAAATTTTACTACTCTTTTCCCTCCAAATCGTCCAAAGAAGAGAATTTCAACTACTCTTTTCTTCTTTATATGCATCTTCCTTGCCCTTCAGCTTATCGTTGCCTTTGCACTAGGAGTCACCCATGATATATTGAAGAGGGGGCACTATGGACCATAACTCCGACGTGAAACTCTGTCCCC